GGCGCAGTGTAAGACAGGCGCAGTGTAAGACAGGCGCAGTGTAAGACAGGTATATTCAACAAAACTGAATCAATGTTTTTGCTGATGATTAAACTGAGTTAAGGGAAAAAAAAACGTTTTAGATTTTTGTCTTTTAACAGGAAGTGATATTTTTGTGAAAGTGATCTGTAGCTGTCTGTCTTCTGCAGAGAGAGGACCAGAGAGGATAAGAAACAAGACCGTGAAGAAGATGAGGAGGATGTGTATGAACGGCGGAGACTGGAGAGGAGGTTGAGGGACAAAGAGGCTGCTTATCAAGAAGTATGTATATGATTGATGTGTGCTCAAGACTTCAGCTCTGTCACAGTGTTAGTCAAATATCTTTTTGTTTGAAGCGTCTCAAAAACTGGGAGATCCGAGAGAAGAAGAAGACTCGTGACTACATCAAAGATGCAGAGAGGGAGGATGAGAGGCGGCGTGAAATGGTACTCCCAACAGGATGAAATTGTTTATAACGTCACATCAGATCCAACTTGTCAGATTTACACAAACGTAGCAACAGCTGAGCATCAGGACCAACAGTTTGTGTGTTTCCATCAGATGAAAGAAGCCAAAAGACTCAAAGAGTTCCTGGAAGATTATGACGACGACAGGGACGATCCAAAATACTACAGGTGATCCATTAAACACACACACACACGCGTTTATTTCTGTTCATGTATTTATTTATTTTTTTTTACATAGCTGTTCCTGACAAACTAAAAATCCTTCTAGACTCAAATAATTTCCAGTACTCCTGTAATTCACCAGTAACGTTACTGTCCTGTAGTGTTCTGTCAAGAGGATAAAAACCACTTGACACCGGATCAGTTGTAGTCTGGATCAAAGTGAACACAAAGCTCTGGAGAACCAGAATACAGAAAGGACTACAAGTCGGCGCTCTCAGGCCTGGCTCTGCCTTCATTCTGTTCTGCTTCCAACTCACTGAAGAAAGCTTGTTAGTTTTATAGAAACTCTTGATCGCCCTCCCCTCGTCCTGTCCAGTGCTGTCAGAATCTGGCCCAGAAGAACCAGCACCGCTGCAGGCAGACTGGCCAAGAAGTTGTGGAAGAAAAGCATTCTCAAGGATTGCCAGGGAATAAATCTGCGTGTGAACCAGAACCTTCAGAGGTCTCACAAAATAAACCAACTCTCCACTACTGCCGGATGGTCACATCAAATCCATTATGATAATGAAGTAATGCCACGCTGCCATGATGTTCACCATGACCTAAAGTAATAGAAGGATTATAAAGTTTATTAATTTAGGAAAATAATATGCATACATATTTAGGCCCGTCGCGATAAACAATAAATCAATTAATCGCATGATAAATGAAAATTATCAACTTAATTTTCATTTATCGGCTTTATCGTTTCTTCGTGTCTCTACTGAAGACACTGGAAGACAAACATCTCAACTCCGGTGTTCTTCACTGACCCCTCCTTTCTCTTTAAAATCAGTTTTAACCATATCGTGTTTTTTTGATCGTTAAAAGCAGCTAAGCTGAGAAGCTAAGCTACGAGCTAAGCTAACAGGCCGACCTCGGTGGGGGGAAAAACCTCCGTCTTGTCAAAGCCCCAAAAGTCATAGTTGAAACCCGTGCCTTCGTCTAGAAAGCTGTTTTTCTCTGCAAAAAGAAGCTGAGAATTTGTTTACTGATTTAAATTTTTTTTATTAAAAGCTTTGTGTGACAAATGTTATGCTAAAGAGCTCAAACCACATCGAGCGTCCACCATTTTGAGAACCAAAAAACAGGAACGAGAGACAGCCCATGTCACGTCAAGGGGCCTCCCTCCCATTTTTCTTAAAGAGACACACTGCTCGCTCCCTCACTATCCATCCTTCAGTTCAAACTGTCTTATACTGCCATCCGGTGGTCAAAAAAAGTACTACACACAAAAATTAAAATTTCTTCTTAAATTTGACATTACTAATTACTGCCAAATTTCTAACGATATTATTGTTTATCGTAATAATTTCTGAGCCAATCGCCCAGCAAAATTTGTTATCGTGACAGGCCTATTCATATTGTAATGCTTCAGAAAACACACGAATCAATAATATATTTCTAATAAATGTTCCTTCTGGGGACAACCGACAATTGAAACCCATCATAAATGCATTATTTGATCCCACATTTATCGTATCATATAAAAGTGGTGCAGGAGCTCTGCGGTCAGCGCTGTGGTCTTATAATTCTAAGGTTGTGGGTTCGAGCCCAGGTTGGGTCAGGAAAGGCATCTGGCTTACAAATGTTTCCTGTGAGTTTCCCTGACAGTTTGCCACTCCGTTATTGATCATTTTCTTGTTGTAATCCTCAGGGGCAGCGCTCTGCAGAAGCGGCTCCGGGACCGGGAAAAGGAGGTAGAAATGGACGAGCGGGACCGGAAAAGAGAGAAGGAGGAACTGGAGGACATCAGACAAAGACTTCTTTCTGAGGGTCACCCTGACCCAGATGCTGAGCTGCAGAGGGTGGGTTGAACCTGAAACTTCCATTTTAATGATTCACAGCAAAAAAAAAGATTTTTCTTGAATTTCAGATTCAGAAGTGTGACGTTCTTTTAACACTTTTTTTTTTCTGTGGCGTTTTTATTCATAAAGATCGAGGAGGAAGCAGAGCGGAAGCAACAACTGCTACTGAACCTTGAACTCGAGGAGGATGTAATCAAGGAAAAATCTCATAGAGAAAAAGAACGGAACCGGGGACGAGAACGGAACCGGGACAGAGAACGGGACAGTGATCGGGATCGGGATAGGGATCGGGATCGAGAACGTAATAGGAAAGTTTTAGAGAGGCCCGTAGAACCGAAGTCCCGGGTACCCCAGCAGCATTCTGATGATGATGTGAACGATAGGCAGGAGGACAACTATCACAACCAGGAGGACTCACAGGAGACCAAGCCTCAACCAAAGCCCGTCATGCGTCCAATCACTACTGCTCCCTCAGTGTCTTCTGCCAGCGGGAACGTGACTCCAAACACGCCTGGTGGTGAATCTCCCTGCGGCATAATCATTCCAGGAGAGAACACGCCTGACCTCCAGCCGTTAGACGAGCACCGGCCCAAAATCGGTCTTAGTCTCAAACTGGGTGAGTACCAGTGTACCCAGTCTGTGAGTCACTGTGTTTCTGTTCAAAGGGTAAATGAACTCCACGGTCCAGGTCATTGTTAGACACCTCATGATTCTCTTCAGTTTGATTCAGACAACTGTGATGTAATTCAAAAATGATTATCAAGCAAACAGTTATAGTTTGATGAATCAGTAATCACTTTTAATTGGCTGATTTAAAAAAACTCAACCATGGGTCGTTCCTGTTCATGCTCGATCAATAATCAGGTATAAAAATGAAACATTAATATATTTTATTAAATAAATTCTAAATAATGTACAAATGTGAAAACAAAACCATGAAAGATAAACCTGCATATAATCTCTTTATGGAGCTAAAAAATATTTAATAAGTGGATGCTGACCTCCCTTGACAGTACAGTCACTGTTCACATCAAATTTTTATTTGAAATCAAACCAAATGTTTGTACGAAGTTCCAATTCAAAATGTCAAAACTGAAAAAACATTTGTCTGATATTGTTAAACGCCCGTCAAATGTGATGTGCTGTAAGAGTGAGGGATAGCTTCAAGGTGGAGGTGGGAGTTCATCAAGGATCAGCTCTAAGCCCCTTCTTGTTTGCTCTGGTGACGGACCGACTAACAGGTGAGGTCAGGCAGGAATCCCCGTGGACTATGATGTTTGCAGATGACGTTGTGATCTGTGGTGGGAACAGGTGGAAGAGAACTTGGAGAGGTGGAGGTATGCACTTGAAAGAAGAGGAATGAAAGTCAGGCGTAGTAAGACGGAGTACATGTGTGTGAATGAGAGGGAGGAGGTGGAACAGTGAGGCTACAAGGAGCAGAGGTCACAAAGGTGCAGGACTTCAAGGACTTGGTGTCCACTGTCCAGGAAAATGGAGAGTGTGGTAAAGAGGTGAAGAAGAGAGTCCAGGCAGGATGGAGTGGATGGAGAAAAGTTTCAGGAGTGATTTGTGACAAAAGGGTGTCAACAAAGGTCAAAGTAAAAGTTTACAAGACAGTGGTGAGACCAGCTCTGTTGTATGGTCTGGAGACAGAGACATGGACAAAAAGACAAGAGACAGAACTGGAAGTGGCAGAAATGAAGATGTTGAGGTTCTTAAGAGAGACAAGAATGGAGAAGATTAGGAATGAGATCATCAGAGGTACAGCACTGGTTGAACAACTGGGAGATAAAGTTAGAGACCAGACTGAGATGGTTTGGACATGTCCAGAGGAGGGACAGTGGTTTGGACATGTCCAGAAGAGAGACAGTGGTTTGGACACATCCAGAGGAGGGACAGTGGTTTGGACACGTCCAGAGGAGAGACAGTGGTTTGGACACGTCCAGAGGAGGGACAGTGGGTATACTGGTAGAAGGATGTTAGAAATGCAGCTGCCATGAAAAAGACAAACTAGCACTATGTTTGTCTTGTGCACGGTTTTTGGAGTCTGAGCTGCTACAATCTCCACTTTTTATCTGGAAGTGGTGGAGCTGCGTCGGGGGATGGGTGGGGGGATTTGGAAGGCGGGGTGCTCAGTTCTGTTGACAGGGCGGGGCGCCCTCCTGGAATAATGGATCAATAATAATAAAAGTTAATACAAGGTCTTTGCTTGTCCGGGCCATTGCTATATTGCTGTGAACCAGTTTGTTGTATAATGTGCTGTGTGCAGTGCTCTTGTTATAATTGTTCCAGTTTAAAAAAGCTCCTGCCAATAGACTTAAACCGCTGGTGATCAAAATATTCATGCAACTGTGCAAACCTTCAGCCTCCTGCACATACTTTGAGGATTTGTACTTGTTTGTTAGTAATGCTTGAATACTCATAAAGAAATCTGTAAAAGTGAAATCTGGAATAACAACAAAGTCCATGCTCAATCTGGAATAAATCTGGAATAGTTTGAAATGTTAAAATCTGACAAGTGCCAGAGCCCTGACGGTTACTGCTCCAATAAACCCGTGCTCCTCCTCATTTTGTTTCTCAGGTGCAACCAACAGTCCCAATCAGCTCAGCGCCGGGAAGAGAAAGAAGTTGGCAGCAGTCGATAGTGTTTTCAACAAGTTTGACGACGAGGAAGCGGATGAGCAGCCTCGAAAAAGAAAACTGGTTCCACTGGACTACGGTGATGACGACAAGAGTCTTGGGCTTGATGGAGCTGAGATCTCTGCCCCCAAAAGCAGCATCAACACGGAGGAGAAACACAAACACATAAAGAGCCTCATCGAGAAGATCCCCACATCCAGGCCCGAGCTCTTCTCTTACCCTTTGGACTGGGCTATGGTCGACTCGGTAAAAAACGTTTCAAGTGTTTTTAATCAAATGTACAGCTGCGAATAATAAGATCAGGAACTAAGCCTGCCTGATGTTCTGTTTTTAGACTCTGATGGATCGCCGTATTAAACCGTGGATCAATAAGAAGATTATTGAGTACATCGGAGAGGAGGAACTCACTCTGGTTGATTTTGTCTGTTCTAAGGTCGGTATCTTTTTTAAACAGGAACTCAACACGGACTGATTTTTTTTATTTATTAAAAATAAATAAACAAAGGCAGGTTCTCTGTAAGTTTTGGTTGTTTGACGTGGTTTACTCAAATGTTCCTTTTCGTACCCAGATAATGGCACACAGCAGTCCTCAGGGTATTCTTGACGATGTTGCTATGGTAAGTTGAAACAAGCTGTGGAGGTTTGGTTTCATCTTGTACTGATAAATACTTCAGATTCCTTTACCGCGCATCGGAGAGTGTCCACAGCGCTTCACTGCTTCCACGGCTTGTTCGGTTACAGCCTTATTCCAAATCATATTAAATTAATCTCTCTTAGACTGATTGGTAACTCTAAATTATCTTTAGGTGAGAGAGAGAGTGAATGATTGTTTGTCTTTATGTGTCCCTGTGATGGACTGGAGACCTGTCCAGGTGTCCCCTGACTCTCACACAGTGATGGCTGGTATGGACACCAGTGAGCCCTGAGACCTGAAAAGGAAGACATGGGTAAAGATAATGGATGGATGGAGTGATGCATGGATGGAGTGATGGATGGAGTGATGGATGGATGGAGTGATGGATGTAGTGATGCATGGATGGAGTGATGGATGGATAGATGGAATGATGGATGGAGTGATGCATGGATGGAGTGATGGATGGATGGATAGATAGATCGAGTGATGGAAAGATAGATGAGTGGAGTGATGGATGGATAGAGCGATGGCTGGATGGGTAGATTGAGGGATGGATGGATTGAGTGATGGATGGATGGAATTTTGGATGGATGGATAAATGGAGTCATGGAAAGATGAATGGAGTGATGGATGGATGAATGAATGAATGGAGTGATAGATCGAGTGATGGAAAGATAGATGAGTG